CACTGTCAGCCTGTGACACCAAACAGTGTATCAGCTCCTAAACAGGCAGAAGGAACAAAGAAGTCACTGATGAAAAACAGACTTGAAATTGACCTGGGCATAGTCTGCAGGCATTTCTTGATTAGGATCCAGAGCATGGGATTAATCCTCTGTGACATGGAGCTTTGCCATGGGGCTGTCAGCTCTGCAGTTGTTATCATCTGTATTCAAACCTTTTTTTTTTCCTTTTCACACTACTGTGGTTGTTCCTTTTCCCACTTGTGGCAGCATCCTCTTAATTGCTTGAAACATCCTCCTCACCAAATTGATGAAATACTGATCATGTCCTGGTTGTCTATCTTCCAGGAAGGGCTATCAGCTGGTCCCATCCTTTTCTTCTCTTTACTGGCCTAACCTCTATCAGTTAGAAATTTTTTCAGCTCACCTGGCTGGCTTAGGAGAAAGTCTAGGACATTAAAGACCCAGAATTATGTTCTCATCTTCTTTCTTTGTGAGAGGACAGACATGCCCATGATCTTCACAAACAAAATTATTCACATGAGGGTTAAGATTCTTCAGCAATGACATACAAAAAAAAAACCTAAAAGAATGAGGAGGAAAAATTTCAGACTGGGAAAGCAGTGTTGCGATAATTACTACTACTTAATATTTATGTGTTCTCTGGCCCAAATCTATCAGTGAGTGAATGAAAACTGACTATGAATAATATGACCATAGAACTATGATTTTAAAAATTAGTCTAAGGACTGAGTGTGTGTGTGTGTGTGTGTGTGTGTGTGTGTGTGTGTGTGTGTGTGTGTGTACACTGTCACCTTGGAAATACTTCTGTATCCAAATTTCTCTGAAATTCAGAGTTGAGTTCCCAGAGGGTGAGAATTTGCTTTGGACACTGAAGTTGAAGCAAAGTCTTGTGTGGTGGCTCTTCTGTCATAAAGTGGTGAGGGAGACTGGAAAATGTCTTGGTCTTTCTGGACCTCATTTTCCACATCAGGAAGATCAGGTTATTGTTTTAGTTCTCCAAGGTCACTTTCTGTTCAGTTCTCTCTGGGTTCATCTGGGACACATAGATGCTGTTCCATGTTCCCTGTGACCAGTAGCTGAGACCTGACTCTGGTTCTTACTCTGTGTGTCTCCTGCAGGAGCCTGAGCTGAGTTTTCACCCTGAAATCCTAGTAGGGAGCAGATGCAAGAAATAAAGTCAGCAGGATTAGCAGTGAGAGTAACCCACAAAGGATACCTGTGGAGGTGAAAACCAAAGAAGATGAGAATATGTATGAATTGGGTCAGGAACCTCAAGATAAACTTTGAAGAATGCCAGTCATCATCCAAGCCCTCAAAAAGTAGACTGAACTGAGTAGTGAAGCCTGGAAGAGTGAGTTCTTCCACAGTGAATGTGTGCATCAGGATAAAGAGACCCACAGGTGAACTCAGAGCCAGTAAATTCTGAAAGGAAGGACCAACTCCAGGAGAAGAGAATGTGACCATGACACCCAGTCTGGAACCAGAAGCCTCGAACTTAGAGCTGCCCAACAGTAATGCTCTTCAAGTAAGTGTGGATTTAGCAGGAGTAATTGATTGTTGCAGAAGGGTTGGAGAAGTCCAATCTTACATTAAACAGTTCTCCCTAAGTCAGGTGGGCCAGAGTAAGTGGCCCACTGGTTGTATCTGAAGCTGTGATATAATGACATCCTTGTACACTTCCAGTTGAGGAAGTCTCAAAACACAATAGCTCATAAATATGTATGGGGTGTTTATGTTCTTTGCACCATGTAGACATTGGACTTCAGATATTAATGCATTTCCTTAAGGAAGTCTAGGCAGTGAGAGAAAAATACAAACAGGTCAATTCAACAAAATGCATAGTTCTCCAAAACCGGGGTGTTATGGCAGTCCAGAGAATGGAAGGGCAGGTGAAGGTTATTGCTCCTAATGACAGGGTGAACCATAAGGGGAATTCCTCAGAACAGTCCTGTTTTCATCAGAGCTCCCACAGGGGAGAGTCATAGGGATGTGTGGTACAGGATAGGGGCCTCTCTCAAGAAAGGGATTTGCTGCATGGTGAAAGAGAGGAGAGCATCTGTGACAATCCCTTTGGGACAGGAATGTAGATGAGAAGATTGGAG